GTTACGTAGGTAGTTTACATATGTGTTTACAGCAATGAGAATCGTAAACATAGCGTGCCAGTATTAACGGCTTTGCGGGAGATTTTACAATAAATATATTAGGTTGTTCGGATCAAACCCCGGTTTTGAATTTTTATTGCGCCATTTTTAAGGATTGAGCGTTGGATTCAACCACCATATTCCCCTGACTTAAGTCCGTGTGATTATGGTTGATTTCATCAGTTAAAGAGAAGAATTGGTGGTGTTTGGTACTCTGATGGCAATGCCTTACGAAAAGCTTTGGATAAAGAAATAACTGATGGCAACCAACATGGAAGGTGAGAAAGTTACCTTAGCGCTGACAAGCGGTTATAAATTCGCAGAGTGACTACCTCTACTTGATCTTTGAATATAAATCCGTATAAATGAAAACTATATCTTTTATTGGAATATTTGTGCGGGCGGGTTTGATCCGAACAACCTATTAAATAAATACATAGTGAAAAATAGATTTCAAAGCATTAGTGTTCTTTGTATCGAATTCTGTATAGTACCACGAGTATATAATTATTATTAGCAATTTATTTTATCTTTTGGAGTTGCTTTTTGCTTAGTACATTATCTTTCTTTTTCCTGTCATTTTCTTATCACGTTTATCATGAAGAATCTCAATGAGAAATAATCTCATTTTGTATGCATGTTGCGTACCTGTCTGATGGATTTTGTTTTAAGCTAAAAATATGTAAATATCGTTAAATCAACGTTTAAATGTCGTTAATATCGACACTAAAACAGATACAAAAAAGGTTTGGTTTTTTTTAAATTAAAAATAATTAAAATAATAACATTATGTGCTGTTAACAGAATTAGCCCTTGAAACAGGTTTATTTTTTGTCACCGACAAGTTACTTATTTGCTACGGTTATGTCTTGAACATGATAAACATTACGCCCTTGTTAATATTAACGAAAGTAACTAGAAACGTTAAATGAAGTTGTACACTGAGATCAGTGTACAATGAACACTCGTTCAAAATCCGATTATAAACTTTCAACTTAACTTTTTGTTAGTGGTTTTAACTCAAACTAAATGTAATTCACTTTATTTATTATGACTTTACAATCAAATGTTTTAAAAATACCTTGCGATATAAACTATTTATATATTTTTCTAGTATCGTGCCTGGTTACGTTTTTATGGAGCAAATTTTTACCTAATTCCAGTAAACTTCGTTCTCGATTAAGAAGATACGACTTAGTAAGAGCGCCTGTTCTGGCGCTCGAATTTTGTGTCAAAAAGGAAACTGTGCGCTATCAATATCATGGAGTACAGCGAGAGCAGCTGCTGCGACGCGCATAATCATGTTTCATATTGCATTCATAACGCAACTTGTTTGTTTCCTTGTTTCCGTTAATATATAATATTTGAAAAACATATTTTCTTGGAAAATATGTCTCCGTTGGCCTCATAAAAAATGAAAGAATTAAGAAACTATCGTATTTAATTTCAATTCTTTATTTATGTATGTATTATTGTAATTGAATGAAGTCTTAAAGTGATAGAGTATCTGCATAAAAGATCGTTTTATTTTGTGAAAAATTTCGAATAATCTGTTAAAAAAAAATTATAGGTTAGTGTCTAGTCAGGTTGTTATTTTGGTCTTCTTTCACGTGGCGGAACGGAGCGATGTTATGGTATGATTTTTGTGTGTGCACTTGTGGAGATAGTTGGGAGAGTGGAGGTGACATAACTATCATAACTATGATGCGTATTTGAATCATTCCATACTAAAAGTAAAAATGTGTTGGTCCTTATTTAACTTCGTCAAGGATCTATGATATATTAATGTTTATGATTTTTGTGTGTGGAGATTATGAGGCTGGAGAGTCAGCCCTGTAGTCGACGTTCATAGAATGGGAGTAACGTGTCCTTTTCTGTCGTAGAAGACCACGTTGGTTTAACGGACTAGCAGCAGTGCAAAGTGCTCTCGTACTGTTGCAAGATGGCAAGGGAATAAGGAACGTTTATCCTTCTCGAGGCGAGCTCATGCTACTGCATGAGGTACAAAGATACGGTATGAGATCTCTGACTCCCTCCAAACGTACAGAAGGCCATCGTGGAGATTTTAGTGAGTATGAGCCCCACATAGCCCCTGTCACGTAAGAGATGACAGGGTAGTTTTTGAAGTCCCCCCCCCCCATACGAACTAAAAAGAGGATAGAGAGTGACATCGGTTACTTTTTACCGTAGTAAAACATTCAAACGTTACGGATGCGTTGCCACCTTATGATAAATTGGGCCCCGACTACCTCACTCACCCGATGAAACGCAGTTGGACCTACTTATATCGGAAAGTACACATGTACATTATTATAGTAATAGTAATGTACATGATAACATATTTGTATATATGTTAACATGTCCATTATTAATCACTACATAGTATAAAACAAAGCCGCTGTCTGTCTGTCCCTATGTATGCATAGATATTTAAAATTACGCAACGGATTTTGATGCGGTTTTTTTACTAGATAGGGTGATTCAAGAGGAAGGTTTATATGTATAATACTTTGCACTCGTGCGAAGCCGGGGGGGGGTCGCTAGTTCTGTAATAATTAAGTACATTTTTGGATTGACTCTTTTAAAATGAAGAAGCAGCTGCATTGGGAGGATTGGGATGTTTATATAAACACTCTTTTTCATAGACATTTTCTTAGAAATTACAAAGCTAATAAGCGAATGAATTCCGTAGTCGTATTCAACCAAATTGTTTTCGTTAAATTCAAGGTTTTGCTCATTTCAGGCAAAGCTTAGGTAAATGTTTATTATTGTTAGAAGCTAATTGACGAATCGATTGTCAAAATTTACATATCGGTGAATAGCGAAAATAAGAAATAATTTATTATCGTATTTTAATGACGCGGCCATTTATTATATGAGAGTTTTTGTGAAGACAACGCAGTCAGTCGACGCCATCATTGTTTGCGGTTATATAACTTCTTTACAAAACCGGTTTTTTAATTTCGCATGCTTTTTATCCGAGCTGGAACTGAACCAAGCTGATTATACTCACTTACTTTGTGTCAAAATGAAGAATCGCATAATCTGTTTCATAATTCATTAGAGTGGTTTCACGTTGACCGTAAACATTATACAACTGTCGTAGTGGTAAATCATGGATTATTTCTATGGGAATTACCATTTGGGTAAAAGCTATAATATAATATTCAGTTCATTATCTATAATCAATGTATCTCTCTTTATTTTTTTGTTTACTTTTATCATAAACCAGCTTTTGCTAATTGTTGACTGAAATATCTATTAATCATCATATAATGATCGTCATGGTGGAGTTGGTAGCAGTAGCTGGCTTATTAATTTTCACATGTATAAATTAATCCGTTTATAAATTTTAGCTCGGTAAATATGTTCATAACTCATTATCCAGACAATTGTGAGACAAATACAAACATGAAAGTACTGAAAATAAAGTTCTTTGTTTACCACGTGTGACGCGGTGCTTAATAATGCGGTCCCTTTTCCATTTGTCGATAACAATTTCTTTAGATTATAAAAATGTAGTACCATAAGAATACTCATTGTAATGGTCCAAAATTAATGTCAAAGTCAATTATTTCGTTATCAGCCTTTGGTTGTCCGCTGCTTGACGTAGGCCTCTCTTTGTGAACGCCATTTGACTCGATCTTGCGTCTTTAGTGTCCTGCCAGCAAACTTACGCAAGTCATCACTTCACCTGATCTGAGGCCGTCTTACGCTACGTCTGCTCCATCGGCTATCGGTCCTGCGTGTAATGTGACCAGCCTACTGCCTCGCTCGCTCAGCGACGTTCACCATGCGGACTGGCAGGTCATGATTGGTAGGACGCCCTGATTGTAGACCCTGATTGTGGTCTTAATAGACCGGACGACGTAAAGACTTGATGAACTTGCCGAATGTAACCCAACCCAGCCTAATTCTTCGGTTGATTTCCCCTCAAAGTTGTTTTTGCCAACGGCAACTCTTATTATCTATATTTATTCTATATATTTCTGAACATTTTAAACGTTATTTTTATTTGTGTCCACATCGAGACCGATTCTTCCAGAGGATCCAGCTCGAACTATATCAGATCGTCATTGGCTTGAAAACTTGGAGCTCGCGCTTTCACTTGATGGTTGAAACCGTTTTCTGAAATCTACTCCAGACTATAACAGGATCGGACGAGTTCCACGGTACACACAAAGAGATTGGGATGAATGCGGGGTAATCCGGCTGAGATGGCTGGACACGGTTTCAAGTAAGGGCTGGATTCCAGTCCTTACTTGAAACCGTGGAACTCGTCCGATCCTGTTATAGTCTGGAGTAGATTTCAGAAAACGGTTTGTTTCAAGCATGCAGCTGATATTCTAGTGCCTCTTAATTAGTCGATGATCACTGCCTCTTGATCACAAAGATATCTTTGAATCTGTGAATTTTTATATGAGAAGTTGGTAATTGAGCAGGTCCTCCTTGTGTGTTTACCGCCGCTCATGGACATTTACAACTTTTTTAAGTGGCAGATGTGCTATCGAATTATAAAGAATTACACCACGGTTATCTCAACCATCAGACGGAATGCAAAAGTATAAAACTCATATTTCACTCCGGTCTTTTGGTAGCGGCCGTGGAAGTTCCACGGCCGCTACCAAAAGACCGGAGTGACACCGGAGTGTCCAGGACAGGCTACCACAGTAATTATGTAGATAATTACTTTTTCTCTTGTTTGCAGAATAAAACAAACGCTCTATTCCCAGTTCTTATATGATGGTTAAAAAGTGTCTGGTTATTTTTATTTTGTCACAGCAGGCACTAACGCTAATCAAAATTGCCGATTAAAAGAATCATTCGGTCGAGTAATTGGTGTCAAGTGCAAATACAAACTATGTTTAAAATGTTTACAATAATGTTTCGGATCGTGTTATACATAAAGCCGCCACTTACAACGTTCGTAGAGAAAAAGGCGCTTTGGTACATGGTAATTACTCTCGATCTTCACGTGTGTTCACAAATGTGAGGTATAGACAGGTATCATGGCCGGCGGCGTCGTCCGTGCAAGTGGCAAGGCCGCGGTAACAATAGGAGCGCAGCCGGCGCCTGCCGCTGGCTCCCGCCACACGGCTCTGGCAAGGCCACGCGCCTTATTTTATCAAAATCCGATAAATATATTTACAAAGCAGCGTCAAGCCGGCATATTATAAAGCAGCGGCGCGTATCGGTGGGCTTCACACGTTAAGTTCAATTTATTTTTGTTCTCACCATCGGAATCGAGCACTTAGATCAGCTGTTTGAATTCCAGTTTGGTTTTGGCGAGTAGGGAAAAAGTGATGAAAATGTATACGATGCGCGCTCACATCGAGCGACATGATGAAGTCCATGAAGTCACAAGAACATCATGAAGTATTAAAAGTTTGTATGTATGATGAAAACTTCAAAATATTCAATATTTTGAGGTTTTGACATATTGTTGTTTGACACACGGCTAAAGGGAGATTCATCGACTAACTTCTTGATTTTAATGTGCTTTCATTAGTAGAAACGCACGAGTTTTTCTTCTATTTTTAACTTAGACCGAGTTTAAATTCTCAGACAACTGCTACATAATAAACGAAGGTTGTCTGCTCGCTTGGCAACTTTTTACATAAAAAATACTTCTACTGTAAAAGATACTTCTGTCATGCAGAGGCTATTTATAAACAAATTAAACAAGAACGAACACCGTGGTACAGAAACCGCAGCGCCGCTTAAAAATGTGCCAACAGTGCTATCATAACTTTAAGGATACTAAATAAGTTGAGGTATGTCTCAATGTTGTATGGCTGAGGTTTTCGACATAGGGGTCCGCTTCTCGTGCCTTCGATGCGTTAGTTTTTCTACTTTGCCCCTTGTGATGCTGACCGCCTGCTGTGAAGGAATTCTTATCATTTAGAAACAGTGAAACGTGAGTGGGGTTTTTGACTTCCCTATGCTTAAAGATGTAAAAGCACTTATTTGTCTTTTGTGTAACCGATCAGTTTTACAACGGGAAGGATTATCTGGCTTATTGAAGTTTTTGCCTGAAATTTTTATTTAAAGTTATTTGAAAAATTTTCATTACCTACACCGAGCAATCAGAAAATATCCGTTTCCTGCAAATGTTTAACTTTCTCGTAGAACTTTTACACTATTCCAAATAAGTTTATAAGGATCTAGGTCATTTAGCAGTCCGCAAAAACTTTTATACTGCCGTTTGAGTTATTTACTTCTACTTTATGATGTTAGACGTCGGCCGTATTAGTGGAATAGCTTTAGAAATCCAGTTTATATTTGAGTGATTACTTTTCGATGCCTCGTGTTTCTTTTTAATGTCGATGTACGCCTAAAGACCTAAACACATTGCTCTTGGAACACTTATATTATGTAACACAGTGGAGTTTTCATGCGATATTAACATTATCTTTTCTTTTTAATTATAAGACTACACCAGATTTCTTCTTCTTTTCTATCTCTTCTCTCCTTATGAACAGATTACGTAGAAACAGAAGTTTTGCCATTAATATCAATTTTTAAAGGTTCAACGCATACTTGGCTTAAGCTCAAGCTATTTTTACTGTAATTAAGCAGCAACAGCTTATATTACCGCTCCTGCTAATCGAGTAGGTCAAGCGACTAGGGGTAAACCAAGGCTTTAAAGCCTTCAAGACTATCGAAAAGTCCTAGTATTAATGTTTTGCGTTCCACCCGGGGATTAAAGTACTCGGTGGCTCTCTCTCTTCAGCAGTTTCTGACACGTGTACATCATCTCGCGTTATGAGCAACTTGTGGTCCGCATTAACGTAGTCGTCCTCTAACGGCCTTTCCGTCGACATTTATCAAAACGAGTTTTACGGAAGACTAGATTCGGTATGATTATAGGTATCAGAGAAAAATGTCCGTAAATAACACATTTTAGCGTTCGGTATGCTTTATTTTTGTTTAAAAGGATTCTATTATTGAAACTTCAATCGAAATCCGATTTCTTATGGTCAGCGGTTTATGTTGTTAATAATAAAGATATTGAGGATGCCCGTTGCCTTTAGAAAATACCGATGGCTGTTCCAGTCTGGTTGCGGCATTCCACCGATCGCCCTCGTTTTTCTCGGCACCGGATTCGTGTATTTGTTACGACGCTATCCTAATTTCTCGTGTTGTTTGGTGGTACATATATGTTTTACCGTGTTTACTAATACTACACTGTATTTCGATTTACAATATATATATTTCAAAATATGTAACAAATTTCTTATAATTAAATGTTGTCGCATTGTAAAATCTAAATATTTTACGGATTTCATAGCGTTTAATTTTATATTTAAATTCCCGAAATTTCGCAGTCAGCGTTTATGGATAAACAGAATAGTTTGGTTTCAGTAAATTTAAAGTTTAAATTAATTATTTGGTTAAGAAAAGAATAAGATATGAATTATCTCATACGGCAATCAATCGTTATTTGAAATAACAGAAAAACAGCTATTCTTCAGCGTAAACAATAATAATACCAAACTCAGCTGATATCGGGATCATCTCGATTCGGTCCGTTACCTTATCTCGCCGATCGACGGTAAGCTCAGCGATAAAGTTTTCCGATCTCATCGTCAGAACGACCGTCGCGGTTGGGAGGACACATTGTGTGATAGTGTCGTATCTCGACTTTACACGCGAGTGATAAGGATACTCAGTGGCAAAGGGCCGGTGCTAAAGGTGATATGTCGGACCATGACAGCAGTGTGCGTGTCGGCGGCGGCGCTTGCTGCCGGTTGCGGAGAAGCATGCAGTGTTTTGGACTCCGTGGTGATTGCTCCAATAATTATCGCTTTGGCACGTGAGATGAGACCGTTCGTTCGCATTCCACCAATTACCGGACGCCACTTCCAGTTATGTCATGTTTTACTTGCTCAAGCATGGGCACAACGTGCTTCGTATAAGCGAGAGGTGTTTTTGTGCACGTGCTGAGCAATTACTTGGAGTAAAATCTAATGGGATTCGGGTTTTAAACGTATATATCATCTTATAAACCTAGTTAATAGCTTTCTTTACAAAAATCAATGTTAACGTTGTATGGAAAACACACCCGTCTAATTAAAATGTTTGTTAGATTGAAGAACTTTTTAGAAAAACTTTTTCTTGTAGACTTTCGGTGAAGAAACGTATTTTTATATTCATGTTTCTTTCATTAAGACATGATACCGCATACAGATACGCCAATTAGCGCTTTATTATCGTATATATTTATTCATAAATATTCCAATTAAGTGTCAATTGTCAGTGCTAGTATTACACCGTAATATACTACACCGCTTAATCGATAATAAAGAATGAAAAGCGACGGTTATTAAAAAGTCATTACATTCAATTTTTTAGTAAATGATCAATGCCATTTTATCGTCATAAGCTTTTCTGAAACCATAACTCCTCCAAATCGAGATATTTAAATATAACTAACTTTTGCATTGAAATTCTTTTATCAGGATTCGATCATAATTACATATTAGAAAAAAAAATTATAACATTATTATTCAATTTCAATATTTATTACACCTTCTTAATGCGTCTTCGACAAAATTTAAAGACTATAACTAGTAAACAAACTTCTTCAATCAAGATCCGCGCCTATTTTGGACAGTACATAATGGAATCCGTTGTTTGTAATTACTGCTTGAATTAATCACCGTTTATGCGGATGAAGACTGAAGAAGACAGTAATAGTACCGTTTGCGATCCGGCGCCGAGAGGCTGGCGCGTACGCCGCATGTGTCGTGGATTTCGCCTCACGTTCGCCCTCATGAGGCTTAACTGGTTTCTTAATAATCATACAAAAGGTTCGTTATTTTATACAAGTCAATGGTATGACACCTTTATGCACTCGATAGAATGTTAATTATTTATATTAATAACGTGGCTGCTCGATCTACCGGTGCCTTTAGGGATATGATGCGATCCGTCTGTATTTTTTTGTGTCAAAAAGTATTGTTTCGGATTGTTGTGATTAAAGCTTTCAAATTCTCGGTCTTGTGCTATTGTCATATGCTTTATCAGTGTCTCGTAAGTCTTAAATTAAGTGACTTCGCTTGTATCTCGGTTGTGCTTTGATACCTCAGAAGGTAGTGCGTTTATACTGTGTTTCCAACTTAATTGCTTCCATTATTATCTTTCTCACCGCGGCGGACGTAAAAAGGCAAACCAAATATAACGGCTTCACGAGATCTGAATAAATCTTTTTATTGGAATATTATGTTAAGTGATCTGGCGTAGAGAAAATCAGGCATGTTTTGATTATTCATGCCGTTAGCAACGTTTGCCTTTTTCGTGCATGTGCCGAACCTGTAGAGGATTATACATATAAAAACTCCACTTCGAGCTACCCTCGAGTAAGCATTTTTTTTATTTTTTCCGAATGTATGCGATGTAATGTTTAATTACGAGTTCTCAAGTTATTTTAGAAATTTAACATAAAAAAGCTTTTGATGTGACGATAAAGTGTGATAGGATAATAATGTTTCTAATAATAGGCTATGGAATGAAAGCAATTATGATGTTATAACCGAATCGGAATAAACAATGGAGTTCCACTAAGAGTCGACAATTGTAAATATTTACCAAAATGAATTAAGTGATTCAACGTCATGAATACAGATTAAAGATGCCATTCTTGTATATATTTAAAACGCTTAAAAATTATTCTGAATATTATTAATCCACCTTGATGAAGGAGGATGGGTCTGAAACTAGTCGATATATACACCGGTTTAGCGTGAGTTCAGCCGTTATTATTACGTTAAATACGTGTTTAATTTTTCTAGGACCTTATCAAAAGCACTACCACGAAATTCGACCAAAGATTCGATTCCCACAGCGGCGGAAACTTTTCGTATTTTTTTCTAAAAATTTTTGTGCAGAGGTTAGCACTATAAAAATTTAAAATTTGCACACTAAGTGTTAAATAATATTTCTATTTTTTAAATTTTATGTTGTACTGCTTTTTAATAAATGCATAGTTTAGTACCAAGCCAAACTTCTGGCCAAACATCGGCTTTTTTCCTATTTTAAATCGTACGTCACTTCACCTTGCCAGGTATTTTTTTATGTGAAAAGGTGGCAAGTGAGCTTGTGGTGGTGGTGAGGTGAGGTTCTTAAGTAATAGACGCCGCCCATTGACATTTGTAACACCCGTAGGGTTGCAGATGCATTGCCACCTTTTAATGAAGTGGGCCCCGACTACCTCACTAAACGAAAGACAGAAGTATGACACTTCCACTTCACGCCGGTATTCTGTGAGGTCGTAGCGACAGCTTGGTTTTGCATGGCATTTCACCAAATTAGGCAAACTGACATACTTCCAATAAAGAATGATGGGAGAAGTCTGACACATAAGCTATCGGTATCCTGGTGGCATGTTCCTTCGAAAATTGGATGTTGTAAGAAGTTGTAAACTCGGAATAACAGGAACGGAAGATCTAGCAAAATTTAAAACTTTATGGAAATTTATGTAGTGTCACCGGAGCTCGGACTAACGTTATTATCAACATTATTATTATCTTGGTCTGCCTGTTATATTCGTGTTTTAAGTTTCCACTTGACTCGTCGAGGCTCGGCGTTTTGACTTAAGAACAACAAGGCACGAATGATTACGGAATTATGACCCAACTTCTGAGAGCGGGTAGAAAACCGGCACTACAAGTCCTCCAGAAGTAATTTTAATTCCGTTATACTTCAAGGTACCACCAGAAGCATGGTACAGGTGCGTGGTGGTGCTTTCCGCATTTGCAAGTTGAAGTGGCAATGGCAGGCCACATCGCTCGAAGAGCTGATGATGCGCGTGGCGTTCTAAGGGAGAGACCTTTGTTGAACAGTGAATGTTTTACTGCTGATGATGGTGATGATGACGATTTTCGATATAACTTTGAATATGTTCCACGATAAAGGAATAACTTAATCTACAATCGGGTATAAGTGTGTAAACATCAGGACAAAACAGTTTACAAATTTTACAAAAATAATGCGCTCTCGTGACTGGGTTAGGTTTTATTATCAAATGCTATATAACTTAGTCATCAAACGAGATAAAGCCAAACCCGGGCCGAGTGACAAAGGCGATACGACGCGCGACGTGTCGTATCAAACAAAGGCATGCGGCCCTGCAGTCAAGTTTGCTGGATGTAGATCTGGAACTGCAAGATGGTTTAATTTTAATTACCCGTTTAACGCGTATTATTGTATTATTGTTACCACTGTTTTGATCATTTCTTCATTTGTCTATGAAATATATATTTGATATAAAAAAGGCTAGTTTTTCATGTGACACCAAAAAAAATCTATCACACATGAAACAAGCCTTTGTTATTTAAGTTCAAAAAGTATTTTTATTTGTTTTAGTAATATGTATTATAATGATGTTGAGAGATATTTTCTGTTTCTGCATCTGTGTGTGTTGCATTCCATTTTTATATGCTTTATAATTTCTTTTTTGCGTTTAGCTCTTGGGATGTACACTTTAATTCCGCTGTGCTAATATTCATCTCAGCGGCCTCAAGGTCTCTGAAAGTCAAAAAGTGCCGCTTTGAATCTCAACGTCTATTTCGGTCATCTGGTTTGATACGAGTATGTATGTATTTCTGTTGCATATATTTATCTTTGGTTTAGCAGGATATGTACAAACAATAATAAGTCGAATACCGTAAAAAAGGAAGTTCCATAATAAATTAGCTTATGTCCTTTCCCTTCTTAATAATTTAAAAAACAAGAAGTTTGAAAATCAAGGAGAGTTCTGTACAAGACAAATATAAATAAATACTAAAAGCGAGTTCAATTTATAAAGAAAAATAAATATTTGCATATTTGTTATAAAGAATAACAAACACAGAAGCTATTGTAAACACTTTTTTCTTAAAGTGACATTGCAACGAGAGTCGGGTATTATTATTGTCTAGCGGTGCCCGCGACTTCGTCCGCGTGGAATTTAAAATAAAAAAAATCTATAATAAAAAAATTCTAAAATAAAAGTAGCCCATGTTACTCCTTATCACATTAGTTATCTGTTTTAGAGATTAGCCGGAACAAACAGACAGACAGACAGACAGACAGACAGGCAAAAGTGTAAAAAATGTTATTTTGGGATATGTAGCGTGTATACATCCATATGCATTTAGTAAAAAGCGGTTATTTTAATCTCTTGTATTCTTGTATTAACTGATGTTATTGCTTTCAGTCCCGAGACTATTAAATCTTCATCTGACACAGAACCGGTCGGCTAGCCAGAACCCACGGGAGGGGTTATTTTAATATTACAAACAGACACTCCAATTTTATTTATCTGTATAGATTATTGAATAATGTGTATTACCTATTTCGATTTATCCCTGGCCCTGGCCCTGGCCCCGGTTACCTCACTTAGCAGGTGAAATGCAAAGGTTGCACTGCGCCGGACTTCTGTGTACTTTCTTGGGCGATCTGAACAATCTATGCCTTGTGTGTTGCGACAAGTGTTTGCAGTTTAGTAGACATCCAACCAGAAGAATATCGAGTTACGTAAAATCACCTATAATTTCGACATCACCTTACGTCTCTTATCACTGAAAGTGGTTATGTGCAAATATTTTTATTTGTAATTCCATGGAAAGTAATAATGTCAGCAATAATATATCGCTTTTGCAAATTACTTCCCAACTGCGTAATAAAGTCACACATCAAGGAAACTGTTCTGATGCCCGTTACGTTAAGCGATGTCATTACAACAGTACGCGTCCGCATAGAAATTGCTTGCGACCAACATTCTGTACTATCTTTTAATTGTAATCTTCGAGCAATTTGTTTTAAATGAAATGGTAATCTAGGTTTTCTCGTAGCCATAAGTAGACCACATCTCCATCACGTAGATGATCCATCAAATGAGTTAGATGTTAGTATACTGGTTATAGATAAAATCCATTTGTATTTCCATTCAGATATCAATAGTTTACTCGTCCCGGATTTGTAAACAATATTTGCATAATTTGGACAATACAATTTTCTAATCTCATACAGGGAGCGTGATATTTTTTTATATTAATGCTACGTTCGTTTAATGCTGGAAAGAACTTAAGAATTCCATTTTGAATGCAGATCCAAAAGACGAGTACTATTATTTTGAAATAAAAATTATGAAACTATGAGTATATGAGATCTAAAAATTTGTATGGTTCTGAAATTGTAGGTAGGTACTAGGTTCAGTAATTGAAAATATTTCTTTATGTTACTTTACTAGAGAGTGTAACGAATCCTTAACCTCTAAAAGGTTAATGACCGCAATCTGCAATAACCTTTTGCGATCATTAAGCAAATTTTCATTGAACTCTGGAAACTCCGCCCCTTTAAAAACAACTGGAATTATAAATGCAAAAACTTATCATCACTACATATTATAAACAAAGTCGTCCCGCTGTCTGTCTGACCCTATGTATGCGTATATCTTTAAAACTACGCATCGGATCTTGAAGCGGTTTTTTTTTTACTTAGATACGAGTGATTCAAGAGGAACGTTTATATGTACATTGCACCCATGCGAAAACGGGGCCGGTGGCCAGCTGAATGATGTAATAAATATATTTCATTCCTAAAAAAATCTCATTTATATTTAGAATGATGCCTTTTGAAAAGTAATCATAAATTTTTGAAGTCATAGCACTGCTATTTCTCAAGATTTTTCCAGAGAAAAAAATCCTCAGGCAATTTATGAAACAATGCGTTTCTTATGCGAACAAAAGTAACTTTGCGAAGCTGAAACAAGGGAACCCCTTAGGGTTAACGAGAGGAGTCAAGTTTCGAAGAAAACGCTTCCGTGGCTCGACGACGGTAAAGATTAGATATCAGTAGAGACAAATTCATCAATTTAATCATTCAATCAAAGAAATCAAATTCATTCAACAAATCATCAGAAAACACAAACGTTTTACAATTCATACGCATACATATAATTGGTTATTTTATACAGCGTGTCGTTACCATCGCGACAATAAATGAATACACGTCTAACGCTACTTCCCAATAATCATAAAAAAATATTAACGTTAAACAAAATCCATAATTAAAAAAAATATTTTTCAATCAAAGTAATTAAGTAAAAAAGAAACAAAATTTGTAACATCCTATACAACTCGCGCCATAGCGTCGCATTACAAGCCTCTCCTTCTAACAGTATGTTTTGTCTCTTTTAAATTCATTCAATTCATCATCTGCTTTGTGACCTTTACAAATGAACTTTACGTTACGCTTTTATAGGTAAGGGTGTTCTAAAATTCTTTGTTTTGGAAAATTTAATAATTCCGTAAATATTGATGTTTAAAGAATTTAAATGTTTAATACAACTTTAAAAAGTTATCCCCTATATGTGTGTTCATTTATTGTCGCGATGGTAACGACACGCTGTATATCACGGTGTTGAATGGTTAGAGAGCCATGCACGGTTTATAAATCGGTACGTAAATATTTAACAAGCCGGCTGTGCGTCCGGCCTTTTGATTGTCGTATTGTCTGCCGAATTAGGCACAGCTCGTGCATCCTTGACTCGATTACGCAGCCTATAGATTCCAAAGCAATTACGAAGATTTAACAAGAGGTTTGAAAAAAAGAAGGTGTTCATGATAGAAAGTCTAAATCTGCTACCACCCTTTGTAACAGAGACTAGACTTGAATTATTTATTCTTTATGTATAAAGGCGGACTTAATGCCATCAGCATTATCTCCCAGTCAACCTTACGGTCCGGGACATTTAATTCGAAAATATTATAGAGCATTTAAAATCCGTAATTACATAATACTAAGATAGTTATGTAAATAGTAGTAGTTAAGATGTACGTATCACTGTGGATACATGCCAATGAGTATGTATGGATATGATATCACTTACTTGAATTGCGCAATATCGCTGTACAGGTTGGTGAAAAGATCAACGTATAAAAATATATAAAACCTCCGATTAACATTGTGCCGTCCGAACCTTAAGCACTGATTGATAGAAACGAAACACGCTATCATTTTTTACCGCAGAATAGAAAGAATAATTTCGTGAAGTAAAAATATTGTGTTTTATGACGATAAATTATGCATAATTATGTATTAATTATTAATATCTTTGTGTCCATTCTTTTTAAATTTTTTTCTTTTCTTTTTTTTTTAAGACTTGCATACAATTCTTTCAATATTCAAAAGGAAATTCAAAAATAAATGTATGCTAGTTAAGTGTATATTTGTAGGACGAACCTGTTATAGTTTTTAATGCATTATTTATTTTACTATAAAAGACTGAATAATTTATAAGGAAAGTACGATGCGTCACTAGTGATGGATCGTGTCTAAAGTATTGTTATCCTAAGATATTGGTTCTATGTGCTTCGATGAAAAATTGCACCTTTCAAATTGTTCGCTGGTTAAGGTCAATTGCAACGTTACTATTAAGGAAGATAACTAACGGGTTTACTTCGATTTAATACTATTTTTAACAGCACACAATTCCAAGGATTAATGTTTATCAAATTATTAAGCCAAATTACAATCATAATAAAATTCAGAAGAAAATATTTGACAAAAATATTTACAATATTAAATGTAACTATATTACAAGGTATCTTATAAACCTAGTGCATGCGGTGTCTAAAACGCTCCATGCGAAACCATATCGCTGCACATGCATTTCCTCGCTGAATAATTTTGCGCAAGCTTGGGTGAGAAAGAACCAGACCATTGACATCAGCCGCGGCGATAAGTCTAGGACCTAAACCATTCAAAAATTTCGATGTGCTGAACTCCCTGATCTAAAGTTTCAAAAGCAAACGGCACAAATACATAATTTGAACAGGAACAATATTTGCGCCCATAACTTCAACTACCCTTGATGCCACCCCGGTCCTGACCGAAGTACGATTGATCACAGGCAGCCAAAGTGTCACCCTAAGTAGCATCCCAAACGAGGGCTTTGCCTTTCTCCCAAGGGACCAAAGTCAAGCCGTCGGGTCTCTGCCATCGTGCCGGAAAATGCCACAGGGCTCTAAAATAGAAGGAACGTTGACGGAAAAGAGCCCTGCGATTGACGTATTCCAAGGATTGTAAATTATCCAGATGTACACTATTCGAACTAAAGAATTTACTTTGTGCAAAGGTTTTACCAATTGTCAAGGTACTATCTAACCTATCTTGAATGCAGTGCCAGGAAAAATCATGATTTTAAATTTAAATATGTACATCGATAAGACGATGTTTCAAATGTACGAAAAATTTAAAACATCATGTAAATAAAACAAGTTATTTCTCTTAATATTGGAAACGTAAACATTTAGATAGGTTGTGCTAATTTTAACGTAGAATGGCGGAAAACGTCAATATATTGCATCCGTTGCTTACCGCCATTTTTGCAATGGGCACGCATGGGTTTGTTTGCATGGGTTGTCGGTCAGCGATATGGTTTCGTCCTTACGAGCAAGCATGAACTGTAATTACATCGGTCTGCTCAGCACCGGAAAGGATAATCTTAAATTATCGTGGTGTTATAAGGACGTATTCATACTTTCTCGTTGTAGATGTCACGATTGTTTCTTTGTTATTATCAAATATATTTACGCGCCATTTCAAATTCAATGAACGGTTCATAACTAAATAGCGTGTTAGTTACGTGGTAGCGAAAATAATATTTTCTAAATACGTAACCCTGTCCACTTAACTTCACACATTACGAAGAAAACTCGTTAGCGCACCTGCCAACCTTCTTTAAGTAGTTTCCCCAAACTTTGTATAACTTTTCCTTAAGGTAAAAACTATTGTATTGTTCTTTCATTCTTTGTTTACCTTAAAGAAAGTAAAAGGTTGCAGTGTAAACAATGCGTTCGTATAAATGTGGAAAATGCCTAGCTCTGTTTTGAGTATCGGTCAACGCCTTCAATTAATGTTATTTAAATAAACGTGTAGTACTCATCTCACCTACAGATTTATAAAATTAGTTTATTACTATTAATTATGGGCAGAAATATTTTGAATTTACTGTTTCTTGTAAACAAATGGTAATTTAGAAGAGAAAATAAACTTTACCTGTACAAGTGAAATTAGTATACCCAAACAACTATTTGATATGAAATAATTATTTTTCTTTTTTCGAACACGTTACTCCGTTTCGTAATACGACGTAATTTGTTTATCACTATCAAATTATAAATTTTCGAGCTTCGTCAGTTGCAAGCAAACTCCGTTAATATGAAACGTTAATATTTTACCATTTCTGTGATAATATGAAAAAGCGTACATGCACCCAATATTATAAACTTAAAATTTTTTCCGCAAAGATAGGTTTGAATTAAACGCTTATTAGAAATAGCCGGCTAGCGTCAGATTAAAATGTAGGATAGTCTTTATTTCGTAAAAAGTATAATTTTTAACAAAAAAAAACCGACTTCAATCAGAAAATTAATTGTTAATACCTATAACATTCAATGATGACACTCGATTTCTTTTGGATGCCGTCATCAGATCCGGGTTTCCTTATCATGGTACCACCCTGGGGATACCTCCTTTCCGACAAAAAAAGAATCATCAAAATCGGTTCATAAACGACGAAGTTATCCACGAACACACATAAAAAAGAAATAAAAATATATACGGTCGAATTGGGAAACCTCGTCCTTTTGTGAAGTCGGTTAATAAAAAGCATCGAATGGGCAGGCCCGACGAAATAAAGCCTGGCCTCGTACAGGACCATCATGCAACGGAAATATTGTACTTTCGCATTTCGTCTGGTGAGATTTCAACGTACCTGTACCTATGCTCTTTTATTTAGGTGTTTATTATCGGCGGTTGTTAACATTAGGTGAACCGCCTGTTCATTCGATAGCTTTTTACATACAAACACGTGTAAAACTATTTAATATTTATATGTATTACAATTTGATGGCTCGGTGGTACCGTTGCTAGCCGACAAGTATTTGTGTGACCCACATATAATTGTTCCAGTACAGATTGTTTGTTTCCCAAGGAGGGTTGACGTCAGGCCGGTCGAAAAAATATAGCCAAAACCACTTACATGATTTACATGTTGTGTCGACCGCACCTAGGTGGGATGTGGGCAGGATGATGATGAAGTGTAATCATCATCATCAATTCAACCTGTAAGCGTCCACTGCTGATCATAGACCTCCACTAGGGATTTCCACTTCGATCGGTTCGTGCCCCCCTTTTTTTGTATCAGGGGGAAATCTTCGAAAGATACCCTGTCACCTTATATGACAGGGTTATGTGGGGTTCATACCCAATAAAACCCCCTCGGTGGCCACCTTCCGTACATTTGGAGGGACTCCGGGGTCTCCCATGGAACGCACCGGTGTCCCTCGGTACTACGCCTGAACAAGGATAAACCTTCTTCGATTCCCTCACCCTCTTGCAGCAGCACGAGACCACATCGTGCTGCTGCCCATCCGTGGCCCTTTTAGTGGCCTTTTACGACAGGCAGGAGATTCCTTAGCCCTATTCTATGAACCCGGAACCCACCAACACTCTTTGGACCAGCGTGGTGGGTTATGGTCCAACCCCTCTATGGAAATAAAAAGATTGTCGTATCATAATTAGTCTGAAAATCGTGTTCCAGAAGCGGAGTGCGATGGATGTGGCAGCGAAGGGGACGATGGGCGCAGCGTGGGCGAGCTGCTGCTTCCACAGTACGCGCTGGCCACCGGGGGGCTGGCGAAGGACCACAGACCTCTCATCACCTTCCCCGACAACAACAACTTCCACCTGCTCAGCGCCTCGGAATATCGCCGCCTACTCCTCTACCTCACCTCTGTGCCCTCGTGAGTACTATATATACTTTCTTAAATTGTCATTGTACCCTTAAATGTATTTTGAAATCTTTGACACAAGATATACGTGCTTAAGCCTAAGCCCATTAACCTGAAATGGCTGACAATTTGTTTACAAATTCTATGTTAATTGTACGTGTAGTGTTTCCAAATAAAGGTTATTTTTAAATGATTTAACGGCGTGTCTTTAAACGTACCTAACATTGTATCCCGTACACATACACAAAAAGATTTTTGTCAACTAATTTTGGAAATACATAGTTCCATTTAGTGATAGAAACTAGCATGAGCATGTCTTTTTTTTGTATCAGTATCAATGCAAAGAAGGCAGCAGCTAGCTTTATATTAGAACGAAGGTTTTTGTTTTTTTGTTCCAGAGGAAGCAATTTTGATTTTACTCATTACAGTCGTACAAAAATTTTCACATTGTGCTACCAAACATGAATTTGTGTTACTTCTTTTTCATTCTTCTGCCCTTATCCCACCTAAAGTGGGCTCGGCACGACAATCATGTTGTTAATGGTATTGGCTATATTTTTTATATTATTTTTTACGACCGGCCGCATGTCTGTCGTCAACCATCTCCTTTAGAATAGATACTCAGATCCGGAACCTTTGTCTATGAGTCATAAAAATACTTATCCCGTGTCGAACTCAGGACCTCAGGCGGCGAAGGCAACTGCGTCATTGAATCATCGGCTATGTTATACGTATGTTATTTTATAAGAAATAACTTTTAACCTTGGAAACATATTTATACATTTGTTCCAAACTTTTGCGTTTCCATCGGCGAAGATCGTAGAAACGTTTTCGTCGAATACAAGAATTCAGTTTATTACGAAGTTAATGCCTTTTTGTGTGGTGTGTTACTACCGTGTAAAGAAGGATTTAGTGACTATTAAAATAGAGTGATGTATACGGCGCAGTAAGTAGGGCGTTCCCAAGTTTAGCTCAATCAACAACGGACTGTTTACATTAGCTGATTGCACGTGTCTACAACCACCAAGAATGCTCTAGACCAGTGATTTTCAACCACTGTGCCGCGGCACTTTTGTCTGCCGCCAAATTTTGCAAATATATAATAATGTTAATATTATTAAATTATATCATTTAGAAAGAAAAATATTTTTTGGCATTAAGCCAAGATTAAAACTAAAAAAAGATCAAGATTGTTAAATGTAGAAGACGATATGAGATTAGCATTGTCATTTTTACGACCAAATATAAATGAAATTATCAAAAAACATCAAGCTCAAATTTCGCATTAAAAATATTTTTATTATTAGCTTGTAATTAATCCCTTAATAAACGTTTAGTTATTATTGTAGTATATATTAGTTTATTTCGTATATTTAAAATTTTTGTCATAAACTATTTATGCAGTGTGTTGTAGTAAGTAAATAATTTTTATCTTTTTCTTTGTGTGCCGCCAAATTTTGAAATCGTTAAATATGTGCCACAACAAAAAAAAGGTTGAGAATCACTGCTCTAGACTGTCGATTTTTTATCGTCCACCTATTTCAATTTGCAATCAACTGTCACGTTAATAAACATGTACATACACGTATGCATATAAATTAAAAAAAAGTACATAGAAGTACCCAATAAAGCAGGCCGTATGTTGATACATTATCTTAATTTATTTTGTAATTTGTTATTATCATTACACCACATCCTATTATTGTTAATAGATAAAATAGTAATAAACTCGCACACACAATATCAGAAGTCCTTTACTATAGTTAAGTGAATATATATTAAAACGATATGTTACTATTCGCAATGAAGACATCGTTGGACAATAAAATAATGTCATTTTGAAATTTTTTTGCACCCATCATCTTCAAGTCGATCAGCGTTCTCGTTTTTTTGGAAGAAAATAAAAAGGAATGCGATTCGCCGTTAGCTATCCTAGTTGTCAGCGCTTTATAAAGCGATAAGTTTTATTACTTATATTTGACGCCCCTTTCTTTGTCTTTTCAGACTATTAGAAGCCGAAATGGGTTTCCACATAATCATAGATCGAAGGAAGGACAGATGGAACTCCATAAAGGCGGTATTAATAAGGATATCGGTAAGTATTTTTTTTACGCGCTACCAAGTTTTGTTTTCTAGTATCTATAATATGCATTCGTGTTTGGAACATAAATTTATGAGCCGTCTTATTGCTTTCAGGAATTTTTCCCGGGCGTGATCCACTCGGTGTATGTCTTGCGGCCGGCCAGCTTTCTCCAGAAGGCTCTCTCTGAAGTCAGCAGTAAGCTGTTCAAAGAGGAGTTCCGTTTCCGAGTCCTTGTGTGCTCGTGCATCGAGGAGCTGTACGAGCACTTCGACAGGTCTCAGCTAACGCCGGATCTTGGGGGCGAACTCCAGTACTCACACTCCGAGTGGATCCAACAGCGAATAGTAAGATCGTCAAAATATTATGTTAATAGTATACGGACATTTTGAATTATATTCAATACGATTGCAATTTTTTTTAATAAAAACGTTATTACCGCTACTCATTCTCGTGAACTAGGATTGTCGCGGTAAAACAGCTACGAACCTAAAGACTTACAAAAACGGTCCCTATGTCCGATTGACATATACCGATATAAAAATACCCTGCCTAAATGTTGCGGACCCGGGACTTTGTAAAATTAGTGTGACACTTTACGGACACAAGGCTATCCCATTTCCCATCGTAATATTTATTAATTATACCAAATGATACAAGCTATGCGGTGTAAATGGAGCAATAAAATGTATGAAATTAAAAGATCATTCATCGCGGCTTAGTTCCGGTATATTTTTTATAAACAAATGACAACTTAAATTGTTCGGTGCTGTAAAGTACAATCCCTTGCAAAACTTAAAAATGTAATAAACAGTACATTAATCTTACTCTATACATGTATTATCAGATATTTCGGTAATCAACTTCTATAATCGCTTTAATAAACGATTTTTTTCAACTCGTTAAGTTCAATGATGTTTTTTTCTTGCGCACTGAAATCCTCGTGTGGATATATTGGGAAACATCATAATGTGCTGATCGCCATTATGGTACTCTGAGAATAATTACACAATTTTACATACAATGCGCGTGTGAATTAAACTTGAATTTAAAACTGAAATGTCCTCCACAGGCATTGGAAAAGTTCTCCACGCTGATGAAGGATATATCGAGCAAACTAGACGAATTCATGCATGCGATTGTAGACTGCGATATGGGCAACGACCCCACACAAACCAAAGAATTACTAGACTGTCAAGAAACAAGGTGGGTACTAATGTTTTTTTTTTTTAATTTTTCATTCATATTCGCGCTTTCGTCATTAAGGACTACTTTGATAATCTATGGTGTAGTTTTAGTCTAAAATACGAAATGATTTTTTATATTCGTCGTTTACCTCGGACACCATGCCTTAAGAAGTTTCATACATTTACATTACTTCTCTCAGTTGAGTCTTATAAATTGTTACCGGACTTTCTAAGCGTTGATTGATCACCTGTTGATTTTGAGAGTAAATAAGAAAGTGGAAAGTACTGGTAATATTTCTACTCGGAATTATATTTACAAATTCTTACTAATATTATAAAGGCGAAAGTTTGTATGTATGGATGGATGTTTGTTACTCTTTCATGCAAATACTACTGAATGGATTTTAATGAAACTTTACAATAATATAGCTTATACATCAGGATAAGACATAGGCTGTAATTTATATACATATTTTATGTATGTCTGTCTTTCTGTCTAAATGTTACGCCTTCTGCCTATTCTACGCAGACGTAGTCGCGGGCAGCAGCTAGTTACTTCTAATTAGAAAAATGTAACATTTTACAGGTATAAAGCTTTAAAAACCGAATTAGCGGCAGCGACCACGCAAGGCGAAGAGTTGCTGACGCAAGTGAGGAAACCAAATCTTACGTATAATATAATAAGTCATGTTGCTGCAGTCGAGAGGTAAGATAGTAGATAGATAGTAAGACATAATTATAACAAAGTAGAGTTCGCATAACCGTGCGCTTTGCAGTATCATTTGTCTAATCAATTTGCTGTCAAATGTATAATAGTGGACTGTAAAAACGAAGATTTTTCCAAGCTTACAAATTTTTCAAACTATTTGAGACATTCCCAGCTATTTTAACGATAAACACAATATCGGAACATCATATCGCAGACGCAAAGGTACCGGGAACAGGAATAACTATTTATCCCTATAAATAGGCCTAACCTACTATAATCTAAACCATTGCGGCATCCGTGTAGTTAAAGATCTATTAATATTATATAACATAATTGCCAGAATGTTATTTTAGTTAATTTGTGATTTTTAATAACCTTATGAACAATGTTTCAAAATTATTCAAATATTGCGATTGAAGAATTTCGTTACGGTACTGTATTTTTTTTTACTTATACATATAAAAAACTAAGTCAAGGGAAGATTGAAAAAAAAAGTCTAGGAGTTCTTTAAACATCACACGGTTTTAGGTAATATCTGTTCAATAAGTGTTATAAAATATGTTGTATAATGACCAACGCGATTCGATTGTTTCAGGTTACTTGTGCAACTGGAAGAGACTGAGCGACAATTCGATAATTTTTGGCAAAAACATTCCACAAAATTAAACCATTGGTTAAAATTTCGTACCTTTTTATTAAACTTCAAACAAATGCAGGTGAGTACACTTAATTATTAATTCCATTTCACTATTTATAATACTAAGACGGTAAAGGTCTGAATTTAAATGATTTATTTCTATCTGACGGCTTACATCTGTTACGAAAATCAAACATTGGTGTTTTAGGTGAACAAATTCCGTGAGATTCCCCAACGTCTCTCATTGGCTTGAATATAAAGGCATCTGATGCTGATCGCTTACCTACCAGATCCGATATTTCCATTAGCTTATCATTGTTCGAATTCGTCACAAAATTATCAACTCTGATATCTTTTCTCTTTTGCGCATCAAGTTGAAATGTCAGTTTTTGTATTTTTCTAGTCTTGTCTTCTAAGCATGCTGTTAGTTCTTCGGCTTGCTTTTTCTTTTTATTACATTCTTCTTGTAATGATACAATTTTTCGTTTGCACGTCACCAATTCTGCTTTAAGTTTTTGTAGATTGAGATTATTAATCTCTTCTAAACATTGTAGTTTATCTCGTGAATGTTTTGCAAGATTTTCTTGATATAAAGTTTCTTGTTCAATTTGATAGGACCAAAAAGACATTGCTCTCATAGCTACATCCATTATGGTATCCGGTTTCATACCCGCCAAAACTATAGATTTGAAAGTTTCACTCGGCTTTAGATCCGCTTGTATGACGTCAAATTTGTCACGTAATTCATTTCCACAGGCTGGACACGTTAATGAGTTCTCAGCGTTTCTTTTAAATTCTTTTTGACCATGTTCTATACAAAAAGCATGTGAGCATGTTGTCACCCAAGCTTGTTTTGTTAACGGCCTTCTGCATTTACGAAAATTACAAACCATATCTAACGTCATTATTTTATGTATGAGCGTTTCAAAAATTTTCCAAATCCATAGTTTTTGACAAACAATTTTATTTTAGGTTATGTGTCAAAATTATTTTTTTTAATAATACAACAACATTCAGTAGACATTATTAATTATAAAAAAAATATTCAAACATTTTTTTTTATAATTATACTAATTATTTATTTAAAAAAGGATATAACGAGACATATAAAATAAAAAATTTAATTTCCAAAAGCATTGATTAATACTATATACTACATACTCATATTTTAGTATAAAACCGAAAATAAAACTATTGAAATAAGCGTACATATTTTTTATTAGTGATAATAATTTATTTGTTTTAAATTTATCTCTATGTCTTCAAAGGGTGTAATAAAATGAGTTTACTGTTTTAAGTGTTTTTAATATAAACAATCTAGCCTCTTTGCTCTGATTTCTATAATAATAATTATACTTTTGTCTCGCACCCTGAGCACAAGGAGAAATGCTTTTGCAAACATTTCTGATGTCGTACAAGATCCACCACCACTTACCACCAAACCCACAAATATATTATTACACAAATGCGAATCGGGCCTCGTGGTATGAAAAAGGAAATCTGTAGATGTACCTTTTTGAAAAGTTCTTCTTTTTAACAGTAGTAGGCCCACGCAACAGTTTATTGCTGTTCTAATAGGCAATAGACGGTCCTAGGCAGGAGAAATACCACGATCTCACAGAAGAGAAGTGAGAAATGGATGTGGTAATCTTCTGTGTTTCATCTGGTGAGTGAGGTAGCCGAGCCCACTTTATTAAAAGGTGACAACGCATCTGTAACCCTACCATGAATGCTACGTAGTGCATGATTTGTGCCTATTCTAGGTGCCCAAAATTATCTAATACTTTATGCAAATTCATAATGTATTAGATACTTAATCGTGTAGTACCTGGAGTACCGAGTTTGCTCGGTTTGTTTTTTTTTTTAAATCGTGTATTTTGGAAATTACATTTAACTAAAAATTACTGAGTAATGAAATATGCATAATATTTTTCGATCTTACTGACCTATTAATAAGAAAATATGAAGTGGTGTTTTTCACAAAAGAAACAACTTTAAAAAAAGGGAAAAAAAAATTCTCTGGATCAAAAAAAAAAGTCTGTTTTGGGGCCGCCCGATTACCGACCGAGCTATTATGACATTTTCTCTCGCGGCGAAATTTACCGTCATATTCGAATGATATTTTTCATTCCGTGAAAACAGGGATAAAAGGACATTTTCTAAAAATGAAACCTAGCTAGATCGATTTTTCGCCCCCGAATCTACGCACATCCGAGATTACGAATATATATATATATATACATATATATATATATATATATATATATATATATATATATATATATATAATATATATATATATATATATATATATATATATATATATATATATATATATATATAAACAAGAATTGCTCGTTTAAAGAATAAGAAATACCTAATAAGAATTTGGAATTGTTTAGACAAGATTATTTTGTGAACGTATAATTTTCTTCTGATTATAGGCAACTCTAGACAATCATCTAAAGGCAGCGTGTGATATGACTGAAGTGGGCGAAACAGCGGTCCGAGTAGAAAGCCTAATTCAGGAAGCCAATGATTTTGAGAAATTGTGTAATTGCGATCTCGATACAGCTTCGTCTGTTATTGACGACGGTAAGATTTTCCTCAGCCATCATAGTGATTTTAATTTAAATTAGTATGAGAGTAATGTTATTGTGGTTTTAATTTATTATAATGGCGTATTTTAATAATATTAATTTTTGTATAATAAATTGTGTTTTAATGTAACTTATACTGAGAATAGTATAGATAGTTATTGCTTAAATTTTCCATTTCCGTAGGAGAGAAACTAATGAAGGACCCACTCAGTTCTGTAGACCACATAGAGTCTAAATGCGAGGAGTTGAGAAGGACAAGCGCTTTACTCATTGATAAGATACAGAAAAGGAACTTGCTGTTGACCAAAGCCCGGGAACTGATGGACAGAATAGATAAGGTAATGTTGACAGCCTTTTAATACCTTTTGACATCGTTTTTTTTTTAAAAAAGCAAATAGAACGGTGAGATTTTCGAGACCTTGATTTTACGTTTTTTATTTGAAGGTCAGTGAGTTATTTTATAAAATTTAATTATTTCTTAATATTAACAAGATGCAGTGTGGAATATCTTGTAGGGTCTTAAAATTTTAAATGAAATTATATCAGATTTTTTTTCGTACATTACAGTCATTAAGAAAACTTAGTTAAAACAATAAAGCGATAATATATTTTTATATAGTAATAATTTGCATTGCACGATTGGCGTACTGGTTTAGCAGGATTTGATAATAATTATCCGAGACACTAAAAGTGTGCTACATAAAATTTCTGTTTCAAGTCTGTGTTTGTAAATACATATGTTAAACCTCCCTCGGTTCGGGTTGTGTTCCTATCGCGGAGGTCTTTTCTTTCTTGTTATTTGCTTTTCTTTTTTTTTTAAGGCTTGAATTATAATTCATTTTAAAAAGTATAATTCTGGTAGAGTCCATTTACACATCCCATGATTATATTTTTGTTAATGATATTCTGACGTATGTCATCTTCGTTCTACTACGGATATCTTCGTTACGAACTCTATCACCATATAAAAACCAAGCATAGCCCTCCATGAAAAGATTCTCGAGTTACAGCCTCGTACTGGCCATCGTAGAGAAGAACGAGCCCCCACTAGTTGGAGTGACGACCTTTGCAAATGTGTGGGAAGTCAATGGATGCAGTGCTCAGGATCGTGCTTCAGTCCGTGGGGGAGAAATATTCAGGGAACTATATCAGGCTGAATTGTTGATGATGCTTAAGTGATATTTGCTTTGTTAATGACGTCGTTATTCTATATTTTGCTGTTGTCTACTGCGATGAAGGCGAACGAGTGGTGCGCCACCGGTGTCGAGATCCTAGCGGGCGAGGGCGGGCTCATCGCCGTGGACAAGTTGCTCGAAGACGCCAAGAGCTTCGGTCTGACCGCGCCCGAGCCGTTCCGCGATATGCTGCTGCAAACCGCCACACAAGAAACCAGGGCGCTGGTGGCTCAGGTGAGTTGTTGCTCAGTTCATGTTAATAGACTAGTAAAATAGATACGCATCTGGTGAAAAGAACTCTAACATTGACTGGTCGAGGCAAAAAAGTGTAATTACTGACGTAATAGGGGTAATCGGCTCGAAAATGCTTTTACTATACAAGTACATAGAGTTGGAAATTCAAAAAACACGAATAGATATAAAAATGTTTATTAATATTACAACCGGATATAAAAATGTTTTAATGGAACATTTTTATATCCTGTTGTAACACAATATGGCCTTTGATTATACTGTATTTTGACTAATGCGGCTCCATATTGAATTTTGATTAGTGTCGTGTCTTTACTAAAGAATCTTCCAAACGTCACTAAAGAGTCTTTACTGACATTCTGAGACAAAGTTAGGAAATAATTCAATTGACGTAAAAATCATCAAAACCAGCCCACGCGTTTGGGTCCTAGAGTGCAGCAAACAAACAAATGAACAAAAAACTTATGTACGAGTACCTAGGCTCATTAATATATTAGCCTCCTTTGCGTCGCAGTCGGGTAAAAAGGTGATAATATTAATTTTTAAAACTGCTATAGCAATTTCATTAATTATTTACCAATTAAAAGTTATACAAGCTAGGTTGAGTCATGTAGGCTAGAGGTGTATCAAGAATGTACCAAATTGTGATTCATTCCGCCGACGTGGGATATAAAAAATAACTTTATTTTTATTTTTAACACACGATCAGAAAAGTGTATCAAAATAATATTGTTTAAGTCAGCATTTTCACGTTTAATTTTCGATTTTAGATTGTAAACGGTCAAATATGCAACTTGTTTTTTTTATTATCTCGGTCATAATAATATTTTTCCGTATTTGGCTACAGCACACGAGTGTACTTGACACGATAGAGATAAAAGCTATTTTTTATATTAGTACTATACGACATCAGCTTTATTTTTTTATTTTTTTTATGCGAAAATTTGTCAAACGAGCAGACGGTTCACCTGATGTTAAGTGAATACCGCCGCCCATAGACATCTGTTACATCCCGAGGGTTACAGATGCGTTGGCAACCTTTGGAAAATTGGGCTCCGGCTACCTCACTCACCAGACGAGAACGAGGCCTTGCCGGAACGGTTCTTTTACAAATAAAAATATTTCCTTCGAGATAAAAGTTGTATCTATTGCGTTCATTGAGCTTCTACGCGCTTCCGTTTCTAATTTAATTAGTTCTAGTCAAATTCATTTAGAAGTTGAAGAGTCAACAAACATAAAAGTCGAAATACCTTATGTTATTATGATACAGATAATTTCGGGGGCTATATGATTCAGGGCCGTAAAAGAGAGAGTCTATTTCATCATTCATTTACCAGAACCTCTAAAAGTCTCAATAAACCCTTATTTAGACTTTTATAGGTTACATAAACATAAAAAGCTTTGATATACATCAACAAATACTCTCCTATAGTAGAGTTGAAACGCGTTGAGGCGTATACCTCAATGCTTGTATTGCGTTTTGTCTATGGGCAACGGTGGTCGTTTTCCATCACAAGCGCCGGTTGCTCATCCGTTAATCACCACATATAGTTCAGCATTCGTTGTAACGGTGCGCTCCATCAGGTGGCGCAAAGGGTCGAAGACGTGTGGCTCATGGTGTCGGTCAAGCGGGCGAGCCTGCAACGCGCCGCGGCCAAGCCGGCGCGGCCCGTGCAATCGGTGCCGCCGCAGAGCGCCTCCGTGCCGCCGCAGCCGGAGCAGGTAAACGAGATTTTGAAAATGGAACACCACAATTCTAGAACGTTCCACGCCCGATGCTTTTTGCGGTACTCTTTTTACAAGGGCAAAAAATTGATTTCGAATTTGTAACATTTGCAATTATGATTTATGACGTTATTCGCCCTGTACTTTTAGGGCGGGTTGTTAGATTATTGGTCAAACTCGTATAAACGTTTAGGCGAATAATGCTAGCATTAACCGCTCATTAATGCTTAGTTAAATTAAATATACGATCAAGTTTTGGTTATTGTAATCGAAAATGATCATTGTCATTGACAAACTTAATTTTAATAAAAAAAATAACTTATTCGATACTACGGATGTTGTCAGTATTGGATTTAAATAATTATATTAATATTTTTTACATTTAGTGCTAGTTTACACTAAAGTAATAGCCAGCGTACGTCCAAGGTAAAGGGTATTAGGCTAATATTAGGGCATAGTACATAACGCGACCCCAATGCTGAAAGGCGAAATATGAGTATTTCCATAGAAATATTATTAAGTGTTATTATTTTGAAAATATTTAGGTTTCCTCACGATGTTTTCCTTCACCGATGTGCACGTGATAAATCGGCATTTGAAATTGCAATAAACAATTTCATTTTTCAAAATCAAATCGGGATTTGCTATTTAAATAAAAGCGAGCTCGCGGACACTGAACAATTACGGCTCTTGTAATATTGACACTATGTTTCTGCATTTCTTCTTATTCAACATTATAATGATTTACGCGACACACATACGAAATTATGCGATAAGTTATGCATATTGATATTAAATTCAAGCTTATAAGTCTATCGTGAAATGAAACACGTTTAAACTAATATATGCAGACTAATTACATGCAAAATAAGGCCTAGGAGCTATCGACCGCTGTCACTGCGATATCCAAAGTCAATGTTAACGATCTTCGGCGGTATCACAGACAACTTTCCTCCGCGGCCCATCAGTATTCTACAGACGCGCCACCTACGTGATGTGCATTTCAACAATACGCGCCAAATTGGTATGCCGCGTGCAAAGGAAAGCGAGCCTCTTTGAATTTCAAAAGTCCGTACATCATTTTTTACTGTGTTTCTTTTAAGCGTAATGGCCTTTAATGCTTAACGATGATAAAATTGAACCCGTCTCTTTCTATACGTAATTATTGGCCTGTTATAGAACAGCATCCTGTTATAATTCTTCTTGGACAGCTTCTGTTACTCAACAATACTAACAGATTTTAAACTAACGTCGCGATGTAAGTTCTCATTAAGCTAGCTATACATTATGTGAACATTATCGGATCGTTATCGCTAACGAATGCCGGAGTATGTATGTAGCTCTATGTAACGCGACAGCAAAAAGCGTTGCTTCTTAGAAAGTTCACCTAACCTGTACATTAAGATAATGGCACACGTGTTGTCGCAGGAACTGCGGTTAGGTCACTGCGGACATGTCTTTATCGATATCTTTTACTGCATAAATAAATTATTCTACAATGACGACAAGCTCTCACAGGTAAAAAAGTGAAAGGTTTGATTCAATGTTTTAGATTACCTTGCCAACTGTTATTGCGCGAAGTGTTGAGGGTTTGATCGCGACGCAAAAATTATTTCATTAATAAATAGTTTTTCCGAGTTCTGACATACCTTGTGTATGTTTGTGAAACGTACCCCTACCCAGCTATTATTTCTAAGTGGGAGTGTAGTATTATAATAACCAAAGCTAGGAAATGTTTCGTACGATTCTTGTATAAACAAATAGTTATAAATATACTGTGGTAGGGCCACGCACCGGCTTACACTGTTGCACGTATAAGACGTTCCGTCAGGGGGTGTACCTCGTCTGGTGAGTGAGTTAGCCGGGGCGTACTTTATGAAAACGTGGAAGGATGTGTAAGTCTACGGGTGTTCCAAATGCCCATGGGCGGCGGTTACCACTTAACTGCCAGCTCGTTTGCCACCTTCTCACATAAGAAAAATACACAGAAAATGTTGGTAAAATATTCTTTTTTGTTCAATAAGCTATACAAATTTCGATAACAATTAACTATATTGTAATAGAAGATCTAAGGCAATAAACTTGATAATTTGTATACATACAATCAATAAAAAAAAAACATTAATCTTCATTGTCTTACATTTATATATTTGATTTTATTTTCTATCTTTTAATTGTAATACTTGTTATGAGGACCATGTAGCGAATTTTGAAAAATAATTATGATCTTTGTACAATCTAAGAAATATATTCCAAATACAACGGGTATGTATTTGAAATATATTTCCTTAATAAGTCATAAATTGTAAACTAGACGTTTACAATATTATTTGAAGTATCAAAGTGTCGATATCGATATAATAATATCCTTATATCCATCTCTGTGTGCGAACTTACCGTCAAAACGTACAACTTTCATACCGTACAGAACACGCTATAGCGTCGTTGTTACGTGACTACAGCGGCGCGGTGTAACCACATGCTTTCCAACTATAGTTAGGGATTACCCATCACTATGAATCCTACGATATTAATGCAAATTACATCGTTAAATGCAAAGTTACGGTAAATACTTTCAACAAATAACATTAATATGAATACTGTAATGTTTTATGGTTACCTGCTGGCCTTTCGTAGAACAAATTTTATTTAAGCTGTAGGTAGGATAGGTATAAAGCCGCAGCCATAACCGTGAACCAAATCATAACGATTTATTTATCTAACATTTACAAAATCAAAATTCAAGCCGCGGCGTTAAGCGTAGGACGTAAACCTTTCAAAAATTTCGATGTACGGGGATCCCACGGACCCCAGGTTTCAAATAAAAATACATAATACGAAAATAGATATATAACGAGTAATGTCATGTGTTTTTCCATTTCATAGCATACTTATTTTCACTCAAACTATTTATTGGAAAAACTATCTAAAGTATATTGAAATCACGATTTGATGTTATTACAAAAACAATATAAATAAAGTTTTTACACCTCGTATATACTTGGTAATGAACGAAAACCTTTTATAATGCCAGCAATCATTTTCTAAACAAAAAAGCGATATTGTGTCTAAAGTATACAGTAGTAACTGAGAATACTTGCAATATTTATGGAGGTCCGCTGCATATTATGATTATACATATCATCATTAATATAAACCTAAAATATCCCAGATATACAACGTTATTTATTACATAGTATTTCTGTGCAATTATACTTCTAGAAATGTAAAAAAAGAGGAAATCAGATAAAAAGGTTTTATGACAAGTTGTTTAAAAGCCGTTCAGTTTAAGCTTTAATTTTAATTTAATAGTTATTGGCCGTTGAAATAAGTTTAAATTATAAATCGTCAGTATTTTTAAACGGTTTTTTTTATAACTAAGACACATCATTATGAGCCCGGATGATACCGCTTATATACCCGGATTATAAAGCTGACAACCATTAAAATTTCAAGATCTCTTTTGAATTAATCCGGTTGATTGTAAAACAAATAAGAAATATGATCCGGATTTAGTATCCCCCGGTCAACAATACATTTTCGTCATATGTGTCATCATATAACAATTTTTAATAAAAATAATTTTATAGTTTCGTAAATAATTTAATCCCATTCAATTAATAATTTCAATGAATAACTTCCGCTTCCTAGCGTTAAAAAAGTCAGTTTCTTGCCTACTGCAAATGCTACAATAAAACACAAAATTAGTTTGTTTGTTCTGTTGAGGTTTGGTCTCTATTCGCATCTATCTGACTACGTTGGGTAACCTTCTTGTCTACTTTATCTCGTAGAAGTATTCTGTTCCCTATTTTGTTATTAAATGGATTTCCGCGATGTTTCCTTAGAATCAGATTGAAACTTTATGCCGAGCCGCGTATCATTGATGAGTAGTAGTTTATGGTGTAGTGAAAGTGTCGTGACATCGTATACACTAATCGATGGGTACTGGCGCAATATCCGTGACCATACTCACTAGACTTGAACGTCACAACAACCCAAATTACGTGAGGTTATGGCCACAGGTTTTGTAGTCAACTTCTTTTCCGCTACTAAATTGTTATTTATTTATTGTTAAGAACCACCAACGTACATAAAGACAGATATGTAAGATAACTTAATAATTATTACAAGCATTTAAGAGCTTTATAACTACTATAACATAAAAAACAATACGATAAAAATGAAATTTAATAATTTAGAAAAATATCATAACATTAATTTAATCCGATTTAATTTAGAAGTTATAGAAAATTTTAGTAGTGTTTTTAATTCGAAGTATTAAACAACTTGAAAATTTTGGCTCTAAAAGTATTTATATTATCGATAAATAGGTCAATAGTCTTATCTTTAATGACACATTCGTTATTACAGTCTGTTTATTCTCGGTATAAGAGAATGAAGACCAAGATTAGTTTTGTACAATTTGTGTTTGAGTAAGGGAATAGAAAAACGCGGCACACGGCAGGGGAACTTAAAACAATATTTGTGATAGTAATTCTGCAGAATCTATAGTCCCATTTGTAAGCTTGTACAAAATAACTAAATCATGTAGTTCACGTCTGTGTGATTATGAGCTTAATTTCAATTTTAGTAAAGGAGTAGAATAGGATTCCATATAATTACCACTAGAACAATACTGCTCCATATGCAATCATATGGAGCAGTATTGTTCTAGTGGTAATTATATAGTACAATTACTATCCACTCAAATTTAATTCTATGGAAGTGTACAGTTTTTTTGTTTTGATTTTTTTTTAATTTCTGTAATAACAACCCGAGTGAAAAGTTTTACATGTTTCCAATGTTTTACATTTTGGCATGTAATATTAATGACAGCTCTGGCAGCATCATTGTTTTTGATGTAAGACAAACTTTTTTTTAATTTACATGATATTTTTAATTTTTATTTGTCATTCTCTTTCTTTTTTAACTAATCTTCAGAAGAGCTGGATCAATTCTAATAGGAATTATACTAGACGGATTAAGAATTTTTCAGAAATTGATCGAAGCTACTCTTTATAGGACTCGGAATTCTAGTACAGGATCGTTCTATAAAACTATTTTCTTAACCATTGCTGGAATATTGTTAGATTTCCTAAAATATACAAGCAGTCTTATGGGAACGTTTCTGTGTTAATTTTAGTCTTCTAAACCATGGATATAATCAAATTACAAATAAACTAAAGTGTCACTACATAGACAATACAAGATACATGGATTTGCTTTAAGCTTGCGTTCTTACAATTTCCTGTACAGCGGAATGCTTTGCGGTATCAAGGTAAGTGGGTGACGGGATCATACTTGCGGAGCCTTCTATAATTGGGTTGATTCGCAAATGCATTATGTTAATCAACCTTAGTCGACGTGGGTGGACGTGTGGACACTTTAGTTTTCAATTTTGGGCTTAGAATGTGGATAGTGGAGCGTGGGACGCCTGTTTTTAAATACCAAACTTCACATATTATGGCGATTAGCTAACGATATTTTCGTGAATAACGCCGTAATACTCGCATATGAACAAAATAAATTTGTTCAGTTAGTTCTTTATGTAGTAACACAGAAATACACAACCGCCATTAAAACATTTTTATAAAATTAGATATATATATATAGGTATCTTAATTAAAATGTCAATTATGTGAAAACGCTAAAAAAATTGGCATTGCATAAGTTATCTCCTTGTTTGTGTTAAATTCCACTCATGTAAATTTTCGCCTAACCTTCCGTATACCAGTAGCTAGTGTTTCAAAATTGTTATTCAAATTATAAGTGAAAGGATATGATTAATCTGTCGGACTATAATGCGATGCGGGTGCTGATGATTTTGTAGTTCAACCGTCGCGAAATGTAATTAGTCATTTAAAACTGCTCAAATTGTTACGAAACTTTTGACGTTTTAAAATTATCGTATTATGTTACTTTTTGCCGGAAATGCGTCGATGGCATCTCCAATTTATCATGGTTCGATGATGAATTCTTGATCGTTTAGTAAATAAATCAAATTGATTTCGGATATTATTTTTCAATTCCATACTAAAAAGTTTCTGAAGCATAATTGTTTATAATTGACATTACCCGATGTTAAAAATTCAGATCTTTTATTTAGTTCGATTTCTTTAAAATAAATGTTTTATTGTAAATATACGGAAACATTTATTTCTTAATGTCGTTATTATTGTCGTTATATTTAAAAG